TATATTACATAGAATATAATAAAAATATAGAATAACAGCATCCCTACACCCTCAAAAATAAAAAACCCTTAATCCCATTTTTAGAATTTTCTTATACACCAGAGCAACCAAATCTCTTGGGGTGGGTGGGGTGTTGGAGTCAGCAGTACTTGGGCTTTTGCATGCTTAAATCCCCACAATTTGGTATTTTTCATTTTTAAAAGTTTCAAACATATCTACTATTTATATGCAAATACACACAGATATCTGCTATACATAGAATATAAAGTATAACATATAATAGCCATATATTACATATAAAGTTAAATGTACACACTAAATGTGGTAACTACATAAGCTAGTACTTCTATATATGCAAACACATATACATTAAATATGTATTAGTATAGTAGTAGGGTTTAGGATTTATTTATATCTACACACACACACACACAAACACAAATATACAAAAATAGCCACTTTCAGTCTGTTGCCAGAACAGAGGCACTATCTGGGAAGACTAAAAAGGGACTTAAAGTTTGGATGGAATATCTGCTTGCAGTCTTTGACTGCATCTCAGATTCTGCTTGAGCCAGCCCTCTATGGAATCCCAGGCAGGCGGCAGCACCTCACTCTGGAATTTCAGAATGAAAATGTCAGATTTAGAAAACTGCACCAAACAGGATTTCAGCTGTAAGACCAGTACCTGTGGTATGCATATTCTCCAACCTTGGATTCCTAAGCCGTTTTGTTACTGCCACAAATGAAAATTAATCTAAGCCTTATTCAGGCTCACCAGGTAGCTTTTCAACAGTTTACTGTCAGAACTGTCATACCATTTATAACTAAGGAATAAGTTCATGTTTCTAGAGAGAATGAGAGTTATCTAGCTTCCTCTTCTCAAAAAGCCAGCATCAATTTAAAGGGAAAAAAATAATTCAGTAAAAAGCAGACAGGTGCATTGTCACTAAACTGCAGCAAAAAAATGAGATTGAGTAGCATTCCACAGGGGAATTTGCAGAGGCTCAAAGAAGAGGCATGAAAGGAGCTGAACTTCTGTCAGTCACAGCCTGCCAAGTTCACAAACACTGAAGTGCGACCACCAGTTGTTTTTACCTTACAGCTATGCAAACAATGCTGTAAATAAACAACTGAAAGCCTGAAATGACATTTCCCTCTGTTCTTTAGCAATACACAATGTGCAGAGAAATTATCCTTCAAGAAAATACACAAATACAAGTATAATATGATATGTAAGGTGTTTTTACCAAGTAATAACTGGTCCAAATATACTAATAATGACTCAAGTGATGTATGGCATGAAAAAAACAAGTATTATTTTTGTCACATTATGTAACAAATACCAATAAAATTATTCAAAAGTACATGAAATTACAACAGTCACAAAATAGTCATTCCTCACAGTAAGAGTGAAAGCATACTTTGTAATTTGAACGTGGCAGATGTATGTTATTCACACAACTTTCTGCATGGATATAATGGAAGCATGCAGGCCTGGTGTAACACATTATATAGATGGCCTAACATTTCAGTAATTGAGCCTATTCTTACTACACACAGAATAAAGTGTTAATGCTCTTCCATTTGGGGAAATTAGCAAAATGTTTCCTTGAATTCCTGAGAAACAAAACGAAAACTAAGGAGAAAAGTCTCCTTATAGGTCTGTGCTCTTGCTATTCAGCTGCAAAATATTAAGAGCTACATATTTTGTGCACTACATTTAAAATCCTTTAGAAGCCAGCATGACTGGTTTGAATGCTCATAATGAAATTTTTAACGCAACAAAAACCCAAGTAGAAAGTACCTGAAAAGCAAGCCAGATTCCAAATCACTTCAAAGATTAAATTTCCAAAAGGAATTATGTATGACTAATGTGCTCAAAGCAGCTATGAAAAGGCATAAATTTCACATGTGCACTTCAATTTTACAAGGTTCTCCTAATCTTCCTTTTTCCATTTCTAGTAGCATTATTTACTTCTGTAAGTATCAGAGAGACACAGCTTTTCAAGCCATATTAGCCACCTTAAATATGTTTTGCTAATTCCTTAAATGTAGTTTCAGGAATGTTGCATCCTTGCATAATCACTTTTAACACTGTGGAACGATATATTTTGTAGCGTGCACAGAGGAGGTCATATGAATATTCTTTCAAGTGAATAAAAGGGATTTTGTCAGCCTGACCCAAAGCCTCCCAGAATCAGTAGCAAAACTCTGCTAGAACTCAGTGTTTTCAATCAGCTCAAAACAACAACAAAAAAAAATCAGAACAAAAGTATCAGGAGGGCTTATGTTAAAAAAATAAGTTTACCTTTTTTCAGCTGCTGGTGACGTTCCTCTAGTTTCTGTCGAGTCAACTTGAAGCGATCAAGGAAATCATTCAAGCTCTGCTGAATGAAGTTTGGAGGCGAGGGCTGAGAGGTGAGTGTCTTGCAGGTGGCTTTCAAGTGCTCCAACCGTGGACTCAGGCTTACAAGACGAGTTAATTCCCGCTGTCAAAAATTAAACACAAAACCATACCTCACACTTGCCTTGTTAACACAAAGATTTTAGTAAGCTACTGCAGCAGAGCTCCAGCACATTACTAGGGCAACAATGTTAAAATACTCCTGTGGCACAGATACCAAGATCTTCCAGTCAAACTGGGTGCCCTGGATGTCTAAGAAATTTTGAGTTACCTTACCGACTAGGCTAAACTCCTTTGGGGTATTCTGTGCTCCTAATAGCTTCCAATAAAAATTAACAAGTTTTGCCAGACCTACCTGACATAAGTCTTCCAGGACTGCCAAAGGCTGCGATGCTGAAGCAGAGTCATTTCTAAACCAACTATCCTTCTCAATTATAGCCTTCTCAAGCTCACTCATTTCCTTAAAACAAGCATTTAGATCTTCCTGGTACTTTATCTTTCTGGCCACTTCTTCTAGATGTTGAACCATGTCTTTCCACCCTGATAATATTTTCTCCATCACATTTTTTATATCCACTGTAGGAAGTCCTTCTGAAAAAAATATATAAGTTATTGTTGTATTAATTGCAACACATTTTGATAAACAGGCATTTAACTTTTCCTCTCTTCAGATACAAGTGCACATTTGCATAAAATCAAAGCATTTTGCATGTTAAAGTCCACTATCCAGAAAAATGTACTTATCACTAACAGCATTTAATCTTTTTATTTCCACATTACTGGTAAAATGAAGAGTGAGATATTCCACTTCCATTCTTCCCCTTTGATAGCTTTTTGTAACAATGAGCTGACTCTCGACTGTCACAACTCTCTTCATCATCGTGACTTGTGTCTAAATGTTGATATGTAGATTTAAGTAAAATAAGCTTTATATAAGTAAACTTTCAGTGGGTTTTTTTTAATTATTCTAGACTCCACAAAGAAAAAGGAAGTGGCAAGTTGGAAGGTAGTAGTAAATTCATTGCAAAGGTAGATGGAAATCCTGTCAGTCTGGGAGTAAGAGGGAGCAATGGCTAACAATGTCACACTGCATGCAGACATGATTAATAGCTAGATAATACGAACAGCTACAAAAGCAACACAAAACACAAAGTTATTTCTCAGTGACTAGATGAAGCACTTGCTACACCATCTTTTTGACAAATCAATGCATTCCCTAAGGATGCAGCAGCAGAAGTGATCAGACTTCCCACCCATTCCTTGTTATTTCCTCAAGTGCCAGAAGTAACTGATGATTTTGCTATATATCAAGAAATTTCTGTACAATGTGCACTGAACAGTACATACTTGCCATAGCAAGTTTCCAGTGCAGGTTCTCTTTCAGGGTACCACCTTTGTATAAGGCATATTTGAGTAATTTGAATTTAACGGTTCTGTCATTTAGAACTGAGCGTAAGGGAAGAAAGTCACATGAAGGGGTTTTTTTGCTGCACCACTGCATAAGTAGAGCCTAGTGCTCTGGCCAAGGCAGCCACCAGCTCCATAGATCCTCCCTGTGCTTCACACACTGGCTATACACTTGGCACATATACAATACAGAAGCACAGCAGCTGCAACCAGCCACATAAGAGGAGCATGCACACAACAATCAGTCACTGCCATTATTGCCCCTAAGAATATGGTTAATTTCTGTAGATGAAAACCTCTAAGACAGCAAGCAATTAGGAAGCAATTTCTGTATCTTATTTTTTGCTGATATAAAGCAGGTTTTGAGCTGTGCATTTCTCGTTATGATCAACAGTTGCTGGTTTCATAGCTATGACCTATCGCAGCTGAAGTGGTTTATAAAAGAGAGATGAGAGAGGGAAGGTTTCTGTCTAGGTTTAAAGACAAGGAACAGCTACTAATTTTTATAATCCAAAGTCCAGGTCAAATCAATGGCTTCCAGCCATCAACTTCAGGGCAATGGCACCCACTGTAAAAAACTTCAGTTGTAGATTGCAAGGAGGGGAGGGCTGGAGATACTTAGCAGATTGGGGCATATAGGCAAAGGGGCTGGCTCAAAAAAATGTGACAGTTTGGAAATCCAATGGAAAATGGCATTTTCCCAGAAGGATGCTGGTCTGTATGCAGGACAGTGATACCATCCTTTCACCTGCCTGAATGCTACCAGTCATAGCAACTTCACCAGAAGTCAAGTGCATAGCAGATCTAAAAGACTGTCTCTAGATGAGATGAACAGCTCTTTTATGGAGAAAGCCACATTTCACTGATGGAGTTTTGTCATATTATGAAACAAGATTTTGGCAAGGCTTAAAGATTCAACTTTCACTGATGTTATAATTATAAGTTCCCAGGGATAAGTGTTTTAATTGACAATCAAATCTCTCAAGCACGTAGGCTGCTCTCTTGCTTTTGAGCCATAGATTGTGACTGTATCATCAAAATATACAGTCAGTTTTTACAAAAATAGAGAAAACTACAAATAAAGAGATACGCACACATTTATCAACCTTAAATTTGGTTTCAAAATTTCCACTTCTTTAAGGCAGTTACATTTTAGAATTTCATACTTAATCTCTGCACAATTTAAAATTAAACTTCTTCCTGCAAAAGCATGTTACTGCCATGTTATTTCTATTTCAATAAAATTAACTCTTAAAAGGTTGCAAATGAACACACACATTAAACAAGGAATATTAGTATTTTCTATAAGCTTTAATAAAAACATATCAATAACTAGCAACAGCAACAATGACTGGTGTTTCTGAAAGAAAGAAACTGGAAGGAGAGCAAAGGAATATATTGCAATGCTTAACTAGAAATAGTGCATTTCAGTATTATTTCCCAGCAACTCATATGATACATCACAAAACAGAAAAACTTTCAAGTTGCTTACCCTTTTCCATTTGATTCAAAAGTACATGTCCACTTCGTTTCAGATCATCTAACTTTTGGCTTTTTTCAACTCTTTCTTTTTCCATTACCTACAAAATGAACCCCAAAAGAATACAGTTTCTGAGCGAGTAATTCTTCTTGAATTTCCCACCTCCCCACCCCCAGTAACATATATTTTCCCCCTACTACACCAAGCATTTTCCAGTTTTCTTGGACACAGCACCTTCTAGGATGCATGTTCTGTTTGTTCAGCTCAAAACAAATTCAGTTCAAAACAAATGAAAAGTAGTTGGTGGTCAAAAGTACCAGGCAAGCAACAGACTAGTACAATAATACCAAGAATAAAATATTATTAAAACGGTTGACAAAGCTACTATGTGAAATAACATATTAGGACACCAAAAACAAGTCACTTCTGATAAAAAATTGTAATTATTTAATGTGAACCGGCAGAGAAAAGACCCTTTCTTAAGTAGTTCCTTCCTTTGCCTCTACAGTCTCTACTGAGATTTCCACTAGAAAGCAACAGCAATCTGCTCCCTAGAAGTCCAAACAGCAAGCACTATAGCACACTAGTAATCCACTCATAAGCTCCAGTGCTTCACTCTCCTTCATAAAGAAATGATGAGGGAAATCCTATAGGACTTACAAGATTTCTAGAGGAACGTGTTCCTCCCTCAAATCATAAATATTGGTGAATGTTCCTATGTGAGACAATTTGGAGCATACATCCACAGAGGAAAGAGGAGTTTCTTGGCCACAAGGTTACAACTTCAATATCCTCTATGATTGCAATAAAGTATCTCCAAATTAAAATCCTTTTGAAACTAATGTCCACAGGTCAGTACTCTGGTTTAGACTTGCTACAGTAAATTCAGAAGCACGCACCTATTTGCACAGTTGGGAAGAACAAACGCTGTCCTATCCCCTTAGAGTCCAATCATTTGAAACTAATGCTGTTCATGGGAACCTGGTATTCACCTCATAAAGGGCTACAAATATTCATAAAGATCTATAAATAAACTATTGGGAAGGCTGTTTTGGTTTTTATTTCCAACAGTATTACCATTCTAAACATTCCTACTGGCACCATTTTGCATTACAACTCTGAGTCGTCGTCTCCTCATAGATATTTTTAAGAATTGCTTTTGATTCGAAAAGCAGGTTCTGGTCCTGCTAAAGCTTCAGTAAGCCTTCATTAACAAAGCATGTTCAAGGACCACAAAAGGCAAGAATATATTCCTGAAACAGAAGAAATTTAAGAAAGAGTGGCTATTTCATGGCTCCTACAGGATTCTGTAAAATTATGGATTCTGTGTTGCAGGTCAGTAATAGCATCCATGAGTTGTAAGTATAGGGTTTTCTCCAGTATTAATAGAGCAAACCACGACATGTCCAAATATTATGACAAAGGACTACTTTGGACCCTGGGTGGTACAAAATGTGCAAAGTGTTACAGGATGATTCAAGCAGCCCACTGGCCCATTTCTGCCAAAACTGTAAAAGTAGAATCAGTCTAATCCATCTCCAACTGTGAAACATGAAGCCAAAATACGCTGTTTAGTGCAAAAGATACCACTGCTGAAGACAGACATTTGTCAGAACTCCAAAGGAGACATCAGTAATATGTTTTTAAAGCTTCCTGTGGATTGTGTAACTTAACACCAGAAAAATTTTGTGTCCAGCTGGTCAGAGATTTCCATGTATGTCCAGTTCTGAAACAGTTTATATAAAGGACTTAATCCCCACAAAGCATGTTGACCAGCCCACACCTCCAGCAAACAGCAAGCTTAGAGACAAAATACACTATTCACTGAAAAACTATCTCCCCATTTTACCTTCAACTTTTCTCTCAGGTTTGAAGTCTCTCTCATCTTCTTGTACTCTTTGATGTCTGAGGCCTGAATGGCAGATTTTGATTTTGAAATCCAGTTCAAGAGCTCAGCACTTTCAGCATCAAACCTGGTTTAAAAGGTCAGAGAATTTTTTTTGGTAATTTTTCCTTATTCAGTCACACTGTCTTAAAAATCAGTAATCCTAAAGTTCAGCACATTACTCAGTCCCAAAACAGCAAGGCTGTACACAAGATTGATGTTTCTCTTATTACAACTCACAGGCAGCAGGACAGAGACAGACTCTCAAAGACCTGCCATAGTAAAAATTACATCCATGGTATTAGCCTTTGGGAGCAACTTGAGAATGCATGGTGCAATTTGTGTCTTAATTTTTTTATTCATACTTTAATGCAAACTATTACTGTTTCTTTTATTGTCACAAAAGATATCGCTCAATGCCGAGTATTTTGATAGTAATAAACTAAACCTCAGGAACAAGACAAGTAAGAATTACAGTCTTAAATTTTGTAAATGTCTGCAACACTATTTGGTCTGAAGAAAAAGCTAGCAGCTTAAGTGCTTATGGCAGTGACAGCAGACGAAGCTTTTTGAACGCTTAGCTGACTAAAGCTTAGCTTATAGCTTAATATTTTTGGCTACAGTGAACATGTTATTAAATATTGATTAGCCTAGAGAAAAGAAGGCTCCAGAGAGACCTTGCAACAGCCTTCCAGCACTTACAGGGGGTCTACAGGGAACATGGGGAGGGACTCTATCAGGGAATGTAGTGATAGGATGAGGAGTGACAGTTTTAAGCTGAAAGAGGGTAGATTTAGACTCAATATTAGGAAGAAATTATTTACTGTGAGGGTGGTGAGACACTGGCACAGGTTCCCAGAGAAACTGTGGATGCCCCCTCCCTGGCAGCGTTCAAGGCCAGGTTGGACAGGGCTTTGAGCAACCTGGTCTGGTGGGAGGTGTCCCTGTCCATGGCAGGGGAGTTGGACTGGATGATCTTTAAGGTCCCTTCCAACACAAACTATTCTGTAATTCTATAAATGCAAATCAGTCAGCCACTCAAGATATACTTGTGAAAGGAGGCATTACTGTAATATTGTTCTTATTACTAAATTACAGGGAGATGGAATATGTTTCTGAGCCATTTTTTGTGCAGTTTCTTCCATTTCTCCCATGTATTTTATAGAGATTAGAAATAAATTAAACAATCAAAATGCTTGGCCCTTTCACAACACTTTTTAACCAAAGATGAGATGATGTTTTTCCAAAAGACAGTAAATATAATTAATTCTATCTTTCAGCAAAGTAGTTGAAGTACAAAGGACTGAAGACCTGCTTTTCTGAGAAACAAAACACTCCTGTTTCCCTTTGAAATTAATGGAAGCTGCAGGCTTTTGGTTGCTCTGAAAACAAGGCTGTACAAAACATTGCCTTCCCCAAACTCAACCTCACAACTGCAACTTGAGTATTCCTCACTTGTATAAAAAAAGAATCAAAAGCCACAACCAAGACAGGAGTCCATGTACTGTATGGCCTAAAATGTAACTGAAGGTTTTTTTAATAGATAGACATACCTGTCTTGAAAAGTAACTAACTTTAATTTAAAACACAAATTCATTATGTAACTTGACAGCTGACCACTCAAGCTTGTTTTAGAAAAAGAAAGCGCATAATGTGGTTAACAATTATTTACTTTCAATTCAGTTTCAAAATGGAAAATCAAAAGAAACATTTTCATCGTAGTACAAGCTCATTCAAAGTTATGTGATGTGTATGGTGAAGGTGTCTTACAACTACACCAGTGTTAGAATTGGTTTGTTCAATTTCAGTCCAGAGATGTTGATGTTAAACAACATTTAGGAAGGCCAAAGTTGATAACAATAAAATAATGGTATTGATAAAATTCAATTGGAATTTAATGACACAAGAGATTGCTGATAATCTTTACATATCAAAACGGAACATTGAAAATCATTTAAAACTTGGATATGTTAGGAAGCTTGATATTTGAGTACCACATGAACTCAAAGAAATTCATCTAAGTGTATTGACATCTGTGATTCTCTCTTGAAACATGAGGAAAATTATCCATTTTTTAAACTTATGATAAAAGGCAATGAAAAATGGATCATCTACAACAACGATAAATGAAAAAGATTGCGGAGCAAATGCGAGGTACCATCTCAAAGCACTTCAAAAGCAGATATTCACCAGAGGAAGGTTCTGCTGTCAGTCTGGTGTGAATTCAGAGGTATTGTGTATTTTGCATCACATCCAAGGAACCAAACCCTTAATTTGACATGTACTGTCATCAACTGGATAAATTAAATGATGTCATCAAACAGAAGCATCCAGAATTGGTGAATGGCAAAGGTGGTGTTTTTCTCCATGATAACACCAGATCACATACAAGTTTGGTCACTTGTAGAAAACTGTTGCAGCTTGGATGGGATGTGTTGCCACATCCACCATATTCACCAGACCTGGCACCATCAGACTACCATTTGTGTTGTTCTTTTTAAAATGCCTTGAATGGTAAAACCTTCACTGCTGATGAGGATACCAAATTGTTCTTTGAACTGTTTTTTGCCAAAAATTATAAGAACCTTTTTGAGCACAGAACCATGAAGTTGCCTGAAAGACGGCAAAAGGTAATTGAACAAAATGGACAATATATTGTTTAATAGAGTTTTTGTTGCTCATAAAAAATTTGCCTTTCATTTACCCAGAAAAAAAAAAAAAACAATTACTTTTTGGACAACCCAACAGTATCTAGTGAGCAAGGGGAAACAGCAGTGGCACATACTTACTTTTTCTTTGCTTCACTGTCCCCTGGGATTTGTTTTTTCTTTGGGGGTGGTGGTGGGGGCAGCTCTTGTCTGGATTGTTTAACCAATACCTGTTCCTTCAATGGAACAGCAGTCTTCTGTGAAACCTGTGACATCCCTATACTTCCTACAGCTTTAGTTACCTATACAAAATAATATAGCAAAAAGGTTAATTGCTATTTTTAATACAAACATAATTGCTTTTGCCTAGTTCCTTTTATTCATCATTCATAAAAACCCATTCATTCTCTCCTACAAATGACCACACCTAGCTGTCATAAAACACCTTTATCATAGAGGCACTCCAGAGAAAGACTTCGTTGCTCTAATTTTAAAGGCGGGAATCAAGCGTCAAAATTCTCAATTCAACTAGAATTATATGCCAGTTCAAGTGAACTAAAAATCTATAAAATAAGCATTATATCCATTTTCTTTCATAACTGCCTGTTTCACAAAGAACTAAGGTCCTCTGGTTTTATTAACGCACAATTCGGTATTTTGTACTCATATCCCAGAAAATCAAGCCTAGATCTCAAAGAGCTGATGCACAGTGGATTTGATGTAAAAACTCACTCAAGTCAATAGAAACCTTCCAAACTTTTTAGCAGGTAAGTCCCACGGGAATCAACCTGTAAATTCTAAGTATGTGCTTGATATTTAAGGGGAGTGAAAGGACGAAGACAGGATTTGGCACTCTGCAGTGCTTTGACTCATATGCAAGAACAAATTAAAGCCACATGTCTGAAATGGACCCCTACTCAGACTGCATTACTCATTCACTATAGACTAAATGGATTGTGAATCAGTGCCACAGCCTTCACCATAATAACATTTTAATATCACTAAAAAGGGACATATGAGTCATAAAACAGTCAAACAGAATTCTCACAGAAGCCAATGGGAGTTCTGTCTAAATAAAAACATTACCAAGCACGCAAAATAATAAAATAAACATTTAACAATCCAGCTTGGCTATCATCATTACTCTATTTTCAACAGATGAGAAATCATACTCACAGAGCATAAATGCTTGTATGACTCCCATTTATTTATCTATTCTGGGTTTTGCTTTTGTTTTCTTTTAGTATCAGATTTAATCCAGTCCCAGGACTTTTACAATGTTTAAAGCTATTTGCATTGACTGACAATACATAGCAAGCCAGCTTTACTCATCAGAAAAATGGAGCTTAATCTGTATGAGAAAGGAGTAATAGTACTAGTCAGGTTAACAACCTGGGGGTCACAAAAAAAACCACAGCTTTGTCAGCAGCTAAAGTCAGCCCCATGTAAAAGAGCACTCACCTACCCCTCTAGCCTGATGCCAAGAACTTGCCAGGGCAATTTTGCTATCTGTATCAATGAGGTTTGCATGCATACAGACATGTCAGCAGCTAAAAAAGTAATAAAGCCTTGTTAATTACCTGGTTAGAGTAATCCTCTAGCTTCTGAACCAAGCTGTCCCATCTTTGAGTTAGTTCTTCTTGATCCTGATCAATTTTACTGGATGCTCTGCCACTCCCAAGAATTTGGGTCACATCCTGACCTAGCTCATTCAGCTGGTCTAGTGTTTGCCGTTTCATACCCATGTCCTCTTTCAAAATCTGAAGTTAAAAGAAAACATTAAAAGACAACATCAAGTATTCTGCCACCCCTTAGCTTTTAATCTGGGAGATTGGAGGGGGAGGGAGTAGGGGCCTAGGGGAGAGCAAAGCAAAATGTACTGCCTGAGCCAGTTATTCTCTAGTGTAAAAAAGCACTAACAGTCTTATAAACACATCCCTGAAACACCTCCTACACCAAACAGCAGTACCTCTTGGGTAACAGTTACAAATGTAACTCAGGTAGAAGCTGTGCCAATATATTTTTAAAAAAAAACCACCAAAACCAAAGAACCACTAAAAACATCAAACAAACAAACAAACCCCCAAAACAAAACAAAAACACAAACAAAAAGCCCAACACCAAGCCACAAATCCACACTTTGGAAAACCCAGCAGACTGGTCATCTGCAATAATCTCCAAAACCTGTCAAAAACTCAGAAGAGCTGTTCCAACATTTGGCACAATAACCTGGAATGGCCATGGAGTAAGTTGGACACATTTTTTAAATGCAAGTGAAAGAATCTGGCAATGAGAGAATATTGGCTTGGCTTCCAAAATATCATCCATTCACAGCTCCTACTGGGGTCAAACTGGTAATTTGCCATTAGTTTAGTCTGCGAGATTCGACAAGATAGAGCAGGATAGTGATACTCACTGCTAGTTTTCGAACGTTCACACTCAGGTCTGTTTGATCTTTAAAGTTGCTTGTCTGGACCTTACTCAAAGCCTCTTCTTTCTCAGTTAACCAAGCTTTCAATAAGCACTGCAGATCATAAGTAAAATAGCACAAGAAAACACCAAATTTGTCAAACAGCTATTGACAATTCCTTCCCTAAGATCTCTGCATTCAAAGCACAGTTCTGTAGTCTGTATATGCAGGAGTTTCAGTTGGCATTTACAAAAGTAGCACATAAAAGAATACAAAAATATCAGATCAGAGAACTAAGTAATACTTTCTAGCAAAACAGTCTCATTAACTGCTGAAAGCTGGAGTGATCTGTGTGGGACAGAACTAGCTCAGGGATCTTCTTCCACTTTTTTCTAGGAAACCTCTCCTGGATCTCAGTTCTTGCACTCCTATGGAAACTCCAGCAATAACTGGCATCAAGTATCAGGAAGGATTTTATACATTTTATATTATGTCGCAACATACTGCTCCCACTGCACAGTCACCTCCATAGATTGGAATACCCAGCTCTCTATCAAGATCAGTTGCACAGCCACCAGTGCACTGCTACTCCTCTGTTTTAAAAATAAATAAATAAATAAATAAAATTATACAGCACAGCAGACCTCTTTGTTGTTTGAACAACACACTTAACAACAGCCACTAGGCTCTTCGGTCTAACTGTATAATTTTGGCATTGTCCCAGAACTGACTACTGCAAGTTTTGGGCCAAAGGGTTAAGGCAGTTTACATTGCAAATGTAAACCAATAGGCAAAATATACAGACAGCAAATACAATGCTGGTGGAAATGCCATAAAGCTGTGAGAAACATTATAACACCACATACTCTCTGGAAAAATGATGCTGGCATCCCAGCCAACATATTTTATAAATAAGAGGAGCATAAAAACCCTTCAATGTATTCAATTAATTTCTGCTAAATCAGCAGTCAAAGATGACTTTCCCTAGAAAACTGAAACATAATTATCACAGTGCTAAGATATATCTGGCACTGATTGAGGAATTTGTTTCCCAAGTGGCAAGAATTGTGTTGACTTTGCAGTGTGGTTTCCAAAAATTTTTTAGGTGGCCACCAAAAGGCTGATGCATAACTGTTGCTCATCTCTCCCATCTCAGGCAAAACGAAAAATGATAGAACTTAAAAGTTTTTGTTACTTTAGCGTTAATAAAGTTTTGTATTAAACATTTTAATTAGTTTCAAATTGTAGTTTTTGTACCTTACTTGATAATTTCTTAGGACATAGAACTAATTCAAATCTGTTTGTAATAAAGCCATTGTTCAGAGTTGAACAATGAATGCAAACACAGGCTGATCTAAACCACTTAATATAAACTTCTGTTTTCTCATCACTTGCAATCTGGCATTCTACATTAAATGAACACCAATTTATTTTTTTTTCACTTTTACAGAACAACATAATTAAATACAAATATGAAAAGATTAATACAATGCAACCACTACAGAAGATGACACTTTTAACAGTACTGTAGTAATCAAAAAATTGTCACTTTTCCCCAGACAAATATAAGGGTGGAAGAAGACAGATGCATGGTCACATAAGGTCATCAAAACTCAGAGCACTTGAAGTCTGTACCTTGAGATACAGAGCAAGGACTTCTGAGGGATCCTTTTTTTCCTCAACTCAGAACCTTATCTTGCCCAAGAGTTGCCAGAAAATGTTAGCACAAAATTTTCTGTACATACATACACATATGCCAACACAGTATTTTGAAGAAATATTTATAAATATATACTTGGCATTGGATAATCCAGAATCTGGGCCTTGGGTCCATATTAACAACAAGGTCACATGAGCTGCAAATTCAGCTTATCAATATACTGCAAATAGATACGAGAGGGGTCAGGGAGAAACACATATGCAACCCAAAAAATGCAGACAGAATATCCCTGTCAAAGAAACCAGGCTGTAACTGTTAGCAACTGCTACATCACCACTGTTCTACATCTTTTAAAATGTCTAAACAGTCTGTGTGTGCTGCAGAGTTTAAACAATAAGCTTACAGTGATAAATATCATCATTTAAGAAAACAAAACAATTTGAGTAAAACCTTCAAAAGGAAAAGCCACCGAATATTTTAAGTTGAGACAAAACAAGATCTAGCACTAGGCATGCAAACCTTACTCATAGAGTTGTGCTACCATATTTTTTACACTATCAGTTAATTTGTGTTTAAGCAGTGTATTTAAAATATACATAAAATACACAATATCAAAGCAAGAAAAAACTCAAATCTTCACAATTCAACTGTTCGCCTAAACTAAGCAAAGTGAGACCAGCTGCATACTTTTCTATATTGACCAAATGTTTTATGTTACTAATTTTGAAAACAGTATCTATTGATTAGATGATTGCACAACTGTGTACACGTATTCATCTTGGAAGCACATATACCTTAATTAGAGAAACTTCTGTAATTACCAAACCACCAAATACTTAGTGATTCATTGTCTTTTTGCTATCATGGGTACTTCCACTTCTTGGCCATTTTGCAAGCTACCTTGGAAATTATTTTTATAAGGAGTTCTAAACTTTCTTTCTTAAACTTTGTAAAATACTTCTCTTGTACTGTACAGCTACTCTGCTCCTCAAGAAATGCTAGGAACCTGAACAATAACACAAAATCTAGTTTTTCAAAGCTTTTTCCATGGAGAGCTGTTAAGTCCTACTAAGGCTTATGGGATTTTTTGTTTGCTTGTTTTTCCCTCTTCACAAATGAACCAGTCACTCTAGGTAACTGAAGAGCCACTAACCTGCTCTTCCAACAGATCCTGCCATAAAAGCTGAATTTCTTGCAACTTGACCCGTCGTTCCTCAGTCCAACGGCAAACTGCTGTCCACCGCTCGCCAAGCCTCTACAAAAGCAGAAACACTCATGAACACTTCTGGGCCTCACAAAGAAACTCAAAAATCAGATATTCAAAAGCATAATTTCTACTTCACAGTATTTCTTTTTACATTACAGTTTCCTCCTTGCCAGTAATCGCCATTGTATTGTACAAAGCTGGAGGTTAAAACTTCCTAAAGTTTTACCTCTACTGAGATCACTGAAGTCAGTGAGCTATCTGATTGACTTCAAAAGGAGTGAACAAAGTAGCATGAATTCTACTGGAGCATCTCCCTTATGAGGGGCGGCTGAGGGAGCTGGGTCTCTTTAGTTTGCAGAAGAGGAGACTGAGGGGAGACCTCATTCATGTTTATAAATATTTAAAGGGTGAGTGTCGGTGACAAACAATGATAGGACAAGGGGTAATGGGCACAAGCTGGAACACAGGAGGTTCCACTTAAATTTGAGAAGAAACTTCTTCTCAGTGAGGGTGACAGAGCACTGGAACAGGCTGCCCAGAGAGGTTGTGGAGTCTCCTTCTCTGGAGACATTCAAAACCCGCCTGGACGCCTTCCTGTGCAACCTCATCTAGGTGTTCCTGCTCCGGCAGGGGGATTGGACTAGATGATCTTTTGAGGTCCCTTCCAATCCCTAACGTTCTGTGATTCTGTGATGAATTCTTCTTCAATAAATTCTGTTGCATACTCCCTATACTTAAGGTCTAACTGCTGACAAAAACAGGAAAATACTTCACACAATACTCCCTAGATAAATTGTGCTCATGTCCTTAAATATTTTTCCTACCAGATATTAACTTCCTAATGAAAATTACTTGCATTAAATAAGCGTTGCACTGTGTATCTTCCTATTTTAATGAAACTGCTGAAAGGATACACTACAAAAGTGCTTAAGTCACTGTGAATGCGAACAGCTTGACTTATCAGGAATTGAGCCTGAATGCCGCCAAAGCACTTTTGTAGGTTTTCTCCTGAGCAAATTTAATAATTCTTTATGTTAGTATTACTGCTAAAAATATTACTTTAAATCACTTTCTAGGATAAACTGTCTTTAAACACAAAAATGTTGATTAACAATTATGCGGAAAGGTTTTAAGTGCCTGCTGCTACAGTTAAAAAAAGATGACTAACGTTTTACCTGTAATTGCTCCTCCAGAATAGCTGTTGCACTTTCCCCACTGCTTTCATCAACAATGACAACCATGTGCGTTAGGGAGTTTACCTTCACCTGTTCTGTCTCTAGGTCACTCTGCAGGCTCTGGAAGAACAAACCAGAGGTTACCAACTTTGAGTACATTTGCTAATCTGCTATTTTGGCCAGAGTGACTAACACAACTGCTGTGGCAAAGTACTTCAGATTCAACGGTTAATTGAAGTTAAGTACAGATTTCACCACTGGGAATCACTGCACAATTTAAATATGTGTAAGTAAAAGACTGCTAGAAATGAACTCAAAACCATTCTGGTAAAGTGTTGGAAAACGTGGAGTGCTTTAAGCTGTAGGCACCATACTTGATTAGGTGCAACAACTGCATTAATTTTCTATATGTGTACTCTTATCAGTAAGAGAGCTTAAGTGTTTCTATAAAAAGCTATTATTGTTAATAAGCAAGTACATTGGTATGCCAAACAGGGAAAAATCACTAAGAACATTTGTTTTTTAATAGCTGATATAATTTTCTCATGAGTATCAACAGTGCTATAATTGATCACGATGTTCAAAGACAATAGTCAAAAGCTGCAGAAAGTATACAGTTCCAATTAGTTTGAAATAATATCTAGATTTCAATAGTCATACAGCTTTTAGAAGAACAGATCTTATGGTTAAAGCCTACCTCTGAAATATCTCTGCAAGATCAATATGCCTTTACAGTACTGTAAATATCACTTTTTATCCCAGAACATCCTAAGCTACTCCAAGAACAACACACCTCAAACTCCTCAGACTTCGAAGACAGAGAGAAGAATGCAAATGTGGGGCAGGGATTTACACAAAATAAAAATACTCCACAGTTCTTGCCCTGTGAGGTATGTCCCATGCTAGGGAGAAGGTCTAATCTCAGCACTGAGTACAAAAACCAAAGCTGCAACCAAGTATGAAAAGGCCATCTTTCTTCTTAAAAAAAACCACTGCAGGCTAGAAAAGCTGGACTTCCATCCAGAAACTTAATTAAGAGACAAACCACTTCAAAAAAATTGTGCACATCAAAAAGCTGTGTCTATGCAACCCCTTAGGGTACAACCCCTGTAAAAGCAGGGACTGGAATCAGTTTCTTGGGAGGCTCTTCCTGATAGATTTAACTCCTGCATTATTTTGGTTTGCAAGTCTCAAACACACTTTAGCAATGCCTGCCAGTCATTAAAGGCAAGGTTCCCCACAGTATGTTTCATTCATACTATCCCTCGCAGCAACAAATAACCTGGAGTCTTCCTTTCCTGCATTAAACAAGGGTAAGACAATTTACCCTTCAGGTTTTGCTTCCTGCATGAAGCCAAGATAACAGCTTCTGCTATAGTCATCAGTGCTCAAGTTTCAGTTTAAGAATGCACTTCCAGAAACTCCCAATTTCTTTCTAACCCATCATCATCTTTTTCCAAATATTAAATTCAGCGTCTCAGCATACAGCCATATATGACTTCTGACACAATCAAGTTTCTCAGCTAAGAAACCCACCAATGTATACATCTTGCAAATCCTCCTCTCCCATACATATTACATAACAAAAAAGTTTACTTTATGTTCTTCCAGCTGTTTTTGAAGGGATTCCAAATCTTCTGCTAAGAGCTGAGACTCCATCTTCTGAATGCGTTCTTCTGTGACCGTCAACCAGTCAGACAGCTGCTGCAGCTGCTGCTTCTGGAGCTCCATCAGCATGTCATGCAGGCTGCAGGGGGAAGCACAAGCAGAGTTATTGCAGAAGCAGCTTTCCCAAGGAAAGAGGCTAAGTTTTAGTTCCTACAGGAAAGCAGCAAGGCCATTCATTAACCTGTTAGTTATCCATCAAATAAAATTCTCATCATTAAGCTAAGGAACACATTTAAGTACCCTTGTCTCTTTCTCAACAAAAGTCAGTGAATTATGTGACTCTTCCTTGCAACAGGGATTTGTTGCTAATAGAGCCTCTGCTGAGAGGGGCAACAAAACACAGTTTCTCCCTTGATATCCAGCTCTTAGCCTGATAATCCACAAGTAGGAAAAAATCCTAAGTGCTTTTTAGTTGTGTAAACACACATAGCTATCCACAACTACTGTATGCTTTGAGGAACTTAAACTACTGAAACAATATTAAAAACACATTTATGTAGCTACTGCATGGTAGATACTATATATTTAGTCTGGCACAGTTACGTAACATAACTGTCACAAAATACTTCTATAAAAGAAATCAAAAGACCCAGTTATATTAATTTCTTTTGTTTAAACATGGAAAGCACGAAGAAGGTGGATTTCATGTCACAAACTGAAGAAAAAAAAATAAATCTTAAATATGGATGCAAACCAACTCCTTCAAGATGCAGTGAGCACCAGAGGTTGGTCCTGCAGCATGACTCACCGGGACTGCCTGTCCATGCTCTCCACTCTGAGCTCCTCCCAGCGGGAGTTCAGCAGCAGCATTTGCTCCTGGATCTCAAACTCCTCTTCTGGCGACAAATTTCCCTGGGCCACCAGTTGGTTTCCAGTCTGCAGAACGCTGCCCACGCTGCTCTGGTGCGCAGTCAGTTCCATCATAAAACCCTGGAAATGGTAAAACCAGCCATGTAACCATGATCTGTGAGCTCCTACAGGAGTTCATGAATTTGTGAATGTTCTAATAAATCGTGGTGTTTGAAACAGTGCTGCAGAATGAGCTGGCACCATCAAACACACAGGCATGGCAGGCCTGTTTCTCTCTCTGACAGAAGATTCTCCATGAGCTACAAAAATTCTGGAGTTGGTAAGATAGATAGTTGAGGTAAAAAAGCTGACCACCTCAGAGGAAAAGCTGTTTGTAAGACAGCCTTTGAACAAATGTACCAAGAAAATAAAACAGAAACTTACCTATGGCAAATAAAACGTAAAACAAGATCTGAAATGCATCACAGCAAAGCAAATAGAACCCTATGAGTTAATAACACTAAAAATTCACTTATTCACTATAATTCCAGAACACCTTTTCCTTTGGCTCATGGTTTTAAAACGGTAGCACAAGGAAAAAATATTCTTCGTTTTGATCATCATTCAGATTTTAAATTCAATTGTAGAGAGTAAGCTGACACAAAAGGAAACTAAAACATCTAACATGACACTTGAAACTTTTAGCAACATTAGAACATTTGTTCAGACTTGGAACAGAACCAAAACAAAATAATTTGGAAACAGCAGTAATTTGGAAGCAACAACACATGTTTCTGAAATAAACTACGCTAATCATGACAGGGAGACCACTGAATTAAATTATCAGTTTCAGCATTGCTCTCATTTAACAACAAGTGACATAAGGCTGACCAGGCTTTTTAGCAGTTGGCAGCAGAGAAGCACCAATCAGCCTGGATCAGATTGTCTTTGTATTATAGACATCAGTGAGCCAGCCACCAAAAGCTGATTAAAAAAAAAGAAATCAAAGTTTCAAAGCATGTTCCACAAAGTTCTCCTAAAAAGATCTATTTCACCTTTGAGAAGCTATTATTTGTCAACAACAACAACAAAGTCACATTCAGTTAGAGGTGCTTTTAATTTAGAAAAAGCGAGACAAAAAAAACAGAATGGCAGGGTTTGAATAAGGACTAGGACTAGGTTCTGCAGCTCCCTCCACACACAGAAAACCCAACAAATGAATTTTCAAGAGTAGCTTACTTCATGAGTGGAAAATTGCTCTTTGACCTCCTCAACGTCACCAGATATTTCCTCCTGTTCGCGAAATGCATCCTCAGCTGACAGCAACCAAGTAAGAACTTCTTCCAGAGCAACTTGGTAGCTTTCCAAGTCCATATCCACTTCTGTCACCGTGCTGGGAGTCTCTGCTCTAGAACTGCCCTGCTCCTCTTCAAGTGCTACAGCCTAGGGAGGCAAGAGAAGAGTGACGTCTTAGAAGGGCACAGAATATGTCTCCCCAAATGGTACTAAAACCAGAACAACTAAGATCCCTTTTAATCTTTCATAAAATGTTAAAAGTAATCGTTCGGTAAAATTTAATGAGAAAGGCCATGGTCATCCCAAATGAACTTTCATTTTAAAATACAGACACTGCACAGAAAATACAATTTTAATCTTGCTTATTTAACAGTGGATCTCACACCCAAACAAAAACCCATCACTACCATTACCACCACTACAAGTCCTGCAACAAACTCAGTTAGAGATTTTGAGCCACCCTCTCCAGTTTGCCAAGACAAATGAGAATGAGAAGCAGAAGGAAGAACCATAACAGATGGAACTTTATACCTCAATACACAAGATTTTGTACAGGAGTCAGAAAAAAAAAAAGAGGAAGATAGAATGACTGAAGTCAATCACAAAGAAGATACTATCATTTCTCATATTTTCTCAATTGCATTCCCTAAGATAGACAGCATGTTCCAGAGATAACTGATAAGCCTGAAAATCAGCTAAAATTACAACTCAGGAAAAATCAGGCTGACTTTGATGACAAACACACCTGCTGCATGTTGAAGTCTCCATCCCCACAGTCCTGCTTGTACCTCCTTGGAAGCGTCTCCACCTCCCGGATGTCTTCCATAGTGACTTGCTTAGGAAGGACCTCGAACAAAGAGGTTAAATACATAATAATAGACTTTTTGTCTGGGAGCTGTACAGCAACATCTGCATCAAAAAGATAAAATGCAGGGAAAAATAAATTAAGAAATTGCTTAACTATATTCTAAGTAATGATTTCATAAAGATTTTGCAGATAGTGTAAATAGCAAGTCCTCCTGGTTAAGCAGCCTTTAGTAAGCTTTAAGTTAAAAGGCCAGGTTTGACACATATTGAAAGCAATACTGAAGGAGAAAAATAAAGAAATAAATAGAAATGTCTGCCTTTGGAAGTGAATTCACATTAAAAGGTATTAAAATTTTGAAGTAAGAGTCCAAACCTGAAGTTACTAAGGAATAAAAACCATTTGGGGAAAATTATTTCAGAACATCTCTCAAACAGAAATGCAGTTCAGGGATGGTCTCCCTGTGCTGGTTTCGGCTGGAATAGGGTTAATTTTCTGTATGGCGCTAAGTTTTGGATTTGCGCTGGAAACAGCATTGAAAATACAGTGATGCTTTTATTATTGCTGAGTAGACCTTACACAGAGTTTTCCTGCTTCTCACACCACCCCACCAGTGAGTAGGCTGAGGGTGCACAAGAAGCTGGGAAGGGACACAACAAGGACAGTTGACCCCAGCTGACCAAAGGGATATCCCAGACCATATGATGTCATGCTCAGCATATAAAGTTGGGGGAACAAGATGGAAGGGGGAAGACATTCAGAGTGATGGTGTGTGTCTTCCCAAGTAACCATTACACATGATGGAACCCTACTTTCCTGGAAATGGCTGAACACCTTCATTCCAATGAAAAACAGTGAATTAATCCCTTGTTTTCTTTGTTTTGCTTTTGCTTTACCTGTTAAACTGTCTTTATCTCAACCCAAGAGTTTTCTCCCTTTTACACTTCCAGTTCTCTCTCCCCATGACTCTGCTGGTGGGGAAGTAAGCAAGTGGCTGTGTAGTGTTTAGTTGCTGGCTAGGGTTGAACCACAACAGTCCCACAAAAACAAACATTTCCACTTAGGCTCTATCCCCACTTCCAGCATCGGTCAGTTCATTTTCTTACTTTTAATATGGAAAAGAGTTTCACTGACTGAGATTCACTTATCTCTCAGTTTACAAGTGCTACCTATTCATTTAAAGAAAAAAAAAATTAAGAAGGTGGTGCTTGAATCTCTGAAGCTTGAGAGTTTGTCTTACAGAATGAACTTTTGGAGGCTCACTTCAAAGCACAGCAACAGCTCAGAATTGTAAAAAGCGGCCATAAAAGTTTCCTGGTAAGATTTCTACACAGTAAGTACTCAAAGCACTGGCAGCTACTGCTACTCAGTGTATACATAAAAACACAAAAGATCATAGGTTCTTAAGCTATCCCATTCTACATAAAGCTCTACTTCATCTAAAAAGCACAGACCCTTGCGCTAGAAGTCCCACCTAAAATAAAACAAAGCCAGGCTATCAGTTTCACCTTCTGTATACTGTCTCTGAATGGTGAGTCAATCTGAACCTTAACATTCAAGAAGCCAAAGCATACACACACATATCCATAACCTTACCCTACAAATTACATTCTTTTAAACCCAAATTTAAGGGCTGGAAACAAAATATCACTGCACAAATCTGCTGGAATTTGTATTCCTAGTAAATGTCAATAGAAGAAATTTCTTTCAAGGGAGGTCAAAAAAAGCTTTTAGTCAAGTAAAATAGCTATATCCCACCTTCAGGATCCAAGAGTTTCTCAATTCCCAAGTGGTTCTTAGCTATGCTGAAAGCATGTTCCAGTCTCTCAGCTGGGGACATATTTATAACTTTATCCCAGCTGAAAAGCTCAGGTCTGAAAGTAAAGATAAAACAGGAAAGAAAGCAGTAAATTTTATCTAAAGAAAAAATTCTATACCATGCAGAATATTAAGTTATAGATGTAAAAGGTAGCTACCTAATATAAATGTACACCTATATACAAAATATAAATGTAAGTGCATATACGCAAATGCATAAACACAAATATGTGCTTTCTTTTTATGAGTGAGAATCTGGAAATCACAAATCAATTAACTGACTGCATGTCCACAGCAACATCTATCTTCCATTCTATGTACTCTATACATATACTCATTAAATGCAACAGGACATTAAATACTACTATAACAAGAAAAAAAATAAAATGTGTTTCAAATTTATTCCAGAGCCAGTTTTCAACTGGTTTTGTTCACAGTATAACTGTTACTACACCCTTTTTTTGTCAGGCTCTGCTGGGTAATGAAGTCACTCTGTTCATGGAGAGCTTCATTCCAAACTTGTGATGTGGCTCAGTGACCACCTCAGACCATCATAGCCACGAGGAGCAGAGGTGTCCACACTGGCTTACTTATCCTGCTCCACAGCCTTATTTCCCCATTGTCATGGTTTAGGCCCAGTGCCTAACCAAGTACCATGATGCCCCAAAAAAGGGCTAGTCAAAATAAGGACTGGGAGGGCTTCTCACCACTTAAACAGGTCACAGATAAAAGACAGACTCATCGTAAGGAATAAAAACAAAACAGTTTTAATTTGCTACCAACATCAAAGTAGAACAATGGGAGATACAACCAGATCTTAAAGTCAAAACACCTTCCCCCACCCCGCCCTTCTTTCCCGGGCTCAGCTTTTGTTCCCGGTTTCCTGCACCCCCCTTAAATACATTAATTCACAGGGGCGCTGATTGGCTTGGCCCTGGTCAAAGGTGGGTCTGACAAAGGAAAAGGGGGAGCTTTTCAGGTAGCTTCTTGAAGGGCCATCTCCATAGCCTTTCCCCCGTTACCGAAGACAACCAAAAAATCTCTCACAGAAAACTCAGTACCCCCATCAAAATAAAAACCCACAAAAAACCACCCCATCACAAGTGCTGATGAGAATCATGATGCGAATCAGACCAAGAAGCTGATCGATTTACAGTGCCAGCAGCCTTCATCTCACATTAGCGTTAACCAACCAAATCTCCAGCCAGCTGTGCACCCAAAAAAAATCAGCAGGTCTCAAAGGGAAAAAGCAGAGCATAGAGCAGGAAGTGGGGTCAGCAAACCAGGTCCCCTAATAGTGGTACCTACACAGACAGGGCACAATCAGCCCCGCTGGAAAACTACAGAGCCATTAAAATAACTTTCCATTCCCTTGTAATAGTGGCTTCTCATTAAAACCCTGCTATCGATTCTGTGCATTATAGAACCTGGAGGGGGAGAAATGGGCTTGCCTTTATTTCTTTTAATACTTAATTTGGTTCTAAATTGACCGGAGAGCATCCTTTTAACATCTGACGAGGCATTACACTTTGTGAAACAGGAAGGCCATAAGCCAGCAGAGTCTGAGAAGCAAAAAGGCAGATGAAGGTAGAGTTAGCTGGGACCAGATATGTGCAAAGATCTTGACAGCAGCCAGTGGAATACTGTATCTCCACACAAGAAGCAACAAGGATAACCACACAGGTTCACATAAAGCTTTAGGAGAGACTCTTCCTTTGAGAAACACATTGCAATATGTGTATTATATATGCACTACCTGCACACTGCCATGATAACACAAATTTCAATCAAATGCAATCTAGGTATTTATGCAAGAGCAAGAAAATTGTACCAAAGAGCAGAATTCAATTGAAAGAGGAACTAAGCTAATATTGGGAAATTAAAGAGACCACCACAGTAAAATGCTAAATGTCCTATTATCTTATATATATAATTTTTTAAGTACTCCAAGTGTTACAAAGTTACTAGATATTATAGCCAAGAGGTAGCACTGCTAATGGTTGATGATAGATACATAAAGAGAAAAGCAGGCTACTAAAGCTCTTAATGGGATCCACAAAAATTCTCCTACATTGTGTCATATTAAGCTATATTATAAAAGCAGTATTGAAACCCCCCCCTTAGGCAGGAAAACACTACTGTCTGAGTAAGCTAAATAGCTTTGCTGTCCTACCACTTCTTCAGTCTGCCCCTGAAAGCACTTTTTAAAGCTTCTCTTTCAAAGCTAAACTAAATCTAAACACAGCTCAAGATTTCTCAGAAGTGTGGGGAAAATGGTACTTCCCCAGCTAAAGGACTGGTGCCCAGGGACAGCAAAGCTGAATTCTCATGCACTGTCAGCTGCCAGGCTCCCAAGAAGAGGGAATAAAAGGCTCAGAGATGAGCAGAGGCAGGTAACAGAGATTTTAAGAAGTCAGAGGAAACCACAGTTACTCAGTTAAAATCTTCAGCAGGGGTTTTTGCTACTTAACAGTGCTCTGAAAAAGGCAGAGCTCACAGACTTCAGATCCCACAAAGCCCAAGCACAGTATCAATGCATAAGGACAACAAACACCCTGAAGCCAATTTTGCTATCCCTCAGGTCACCTAGGTTTCATTTGTGTCTAAAGTTGGCAGTCTCTCCATCACAAAGCTTCACACGTTCAGCACCAAAGCTATGCCACCACAAGCAATTATGCTGGTATGAAAACCACCAGTACAGCTCACACCATTCAGACAAGGGACTTGGTAATGCTTCTAGTAAACTCCAGAAAGACCTTTGCTAGTATTGCTTTGCCTTTGCAGAACAGTCCTTCCGAACTTCCGCTGTCCTCAATGTGGTGCAGGTGCTTCCCATGCACCCATGAAGGCTGAACACAAGCCAGCTCCAGTCTACAAGGTACATTGGTGTGCCAGGGCAGACCCATCCTGAAGCCAGTGATCCCATTATTTCAGTCAGCACAGGCCAAATGGGCACTTAAAAGCAGAGAACAGCAGGCTCAAAGTGAACACATGTTGTTGCGAACACTTTGTATCTGCTGGGTATAAATATTCTGGGTGTTTGTAAAGCATTTTCCATGCCAGATAGCTGGTGGCCAGGAGATCTGGTTAAATTCTAGAAATTATCATATCATTACCATGTTAAAATGGTTATTTATGGTTAAGAACAGTCAGCTGACTTAATTTAAGGTATGCTGGATTTGAGCAGATTGCCTAGAAATATATCTCAAAGAAAAAAAAATTCAAGGTAAAAAAAAATGGTATGCAAGTTTCATAGGACTCTGTAATGACTTCTTTAAACTATGAAACAGTTCTCCAGAAATCAGACAAAACACAAAAGATCGGCACAAAGAAGCTGTAACAGCATTTCTTATAAAGTATAATGAACAAACTAACGAATACCCTACAGAGACCTGAGGTATTCTATTACCCTTTGATTCTTCTGCTCAGGAGTTCTGAAAAAAATGCATACATTGTCTTTCAAGCAACACACATTCCCAAACTGAGAAAGGCTACAAAGTCTGTCTTTCTTATTCTTGTGTTTTGAAGCTTCTGTATCTTCCTACTAAAATGACATGGCAAACTCCGACTGAAGAAGTGTTTTCCTTTGCAAAGGAGGGAGGGCAGGAGGAAGTACAGGGGAAGGAGGTGGTCAGCCCCCCCCTGCAGAGACCTGTTCAGCATATTCATTGTATAATGTGTACTAAGTGGGATGTAAATCCACTTCAATTAGCAAGAGTGCCTGCATGTGCAGGAACTGAGGGAGTTGCACTGCTGCCTTGGCTCCAATATCTTTCCACTGTTATTGTTAGCACAACAGGAAAAAAACCACACACAAACAATGAATCACCAAAACAGGCTACAAGCTGTCAAATGCTCAAGCATGAAGACATGGGGAAAAATGTGTTTACTTCACTAGGTCCAAGATATGCTGTTTGCTACTTACTTGTGTCTGTGGATGACAGCATTAAAGGCAAGTCCGTCTGCCCAGCTTGTGGTGAAGTTGAGAACGTTGACTTGACTGTAAGGTCTCGTGGACTGCCGAACCCAGCTCAGCAGGATCTTCTCACTGTTGGTCTGCTGCAAATCTGACATGATGTTCTTCATGACATCTTTTACCTGCAAGACAGCAGTAACTACTTCTTACAGCCATGTTTCTCCACTTTTCCTGCTTACAAAACCTTTGAACCAAGGTATTTCACAAATCATGAAAGGGTCTTTCCCATGAACAGCTATGAATCAAAATATAACTCCTCACATGAAATTTGGAAATAGGACTCTTCAGGCCACCTTTCCACTCTGCTGACTACAAGAACCAGTAATGTTTCATGTAATAACACATTACTCTTGCATTACAACTTTCTCCTTCTCATTGCTGCCTACACTAAGCATGGAGTATAGTATTTCTCACTACCTTGTGCTGCAGTTCCACTAGTAAGCAAACCCCCAAAATACAGTTTGCACAGGTTTTCTGCAAGAAGAAGATATCTAGTCACCCAACAAAAGTAGTTTGCTGTTTGGGTACTAAGCATAAGCACCTGCCAAAGTCCCTCCAAGTGGATTCAACGATCATTCCAAGTACCTGGATAAACCAGGAGTAATTCAATCTGAGACTGAGAAACAAACCTACGAAGCAGCATGTAAGATTCAAGCTCAACACAACTACCCAGATAGTAAAAAAAAAAAAAAAACCACCTGCTAACAGAAGTACATAAAAGCCTTGAGGAAGAAATATGAATACAATGCTTCAGTCTGAAAAGCTTCTCTGCAGTTAACACCAGCAGGAACTAAACAGAGGCTGAGTACAACTGAGCACATACAAGAATACGTATCACGGGAGGCAGCCAATAGACAGAGATCAGAAACCAAACACCAGCCTGTCTTTATTTACCAGCTCAAGATAGAAGCAGAATTTTCCACCACCAAAACCCCAAGGAGGTTTGTGAGAATCCCAGAAGACTGATGCGCACAGTTCCTGGAAAGGAAGAGATCTCACAACAGCCACTCACCTGCCAGTGCAAGATAATGCTCCACAGCAGCCCCAGCGTCAGCTTGTGATTTCCATCCACGATGTCAGTCCCTCCAATGTTCACCAACTCCACCTGGGGAGGTTACATCAACTCTATATTAAACACCGTAATCACAGATTCAAATCACCACCTCACCCCATATTCCTGGCTATCCAGCCACATATTATCAAGTGCTCTGAAATTAAAAAGTAGTTAGAAAGAGAGAACCAGATATGACAGAATACTCTATATTCAAATTTAACATGACAATTGCTTAAACAGCATGACAAAAGATGACAGCAAAGAAGATACTCCATTGGAAGAGTTTTATCCTCTCCTCTAATATACAGATGTATGGCAGCAGTCAAAACTGACCAATAGGAATGTAAACATGAAGGATCTGATATTACAAGAAGTTAAGCAGTTCTGCTCCTGGACACACTCAGAGATACAACAGAACTCTGAAAACTCTGTAATTAAGAATATTGTCCTCTGCACATGCAAGCTTCCAAATAGGACAAGTTCATACAGGAGATCAAAAGCTTAAGGAAAAAAATAAACGTTTCCTATAGGTATAGGACCCCACGTATACACAGTGATTTTCTAATTGAGATCATTAAAAAGATAAAAACATGGAAAGAGAGACAAGGAGATTACTTCAGTAAGAGAGGGGGTGGAAGAGGCTACCCACTCCTGCATCAAGTATTCAGCCCTCAGAAGCAGCAATAGTTAGAGCACACTGCCACATACCCACTCAGTGCTACTTTAGAGTCTGAAATGAATTAGGGCATCAAGTCTACATTCAATCAACACAGAGAAAAGGGTACTAACTCTTAACCAGCTCTGGAGGGAACCAACAGCAGTGCCACTGCATTAGTCACCACCACGGCTATGGAAATTGGGCTGGGAACAGCTGCCTATTGCAGATGAGGCAGATACCTCTCTGGGTGGATGTACACATACAGCAGATGCTGCAACACACTCTCACACAGGGAGAGATGAGCTCCTGAGCCAGGAGCATCTCCCAGCGTCAGGGTCAAGTGGCACAGTGTATTGCACCTCGATGGGAAGGCTTTTTTTCTCCCTTTCTCACCCCTGCTCCAAAACAGCGTCATCCACAGTGCCTTCCAGAAGCACCTCCCAGCTCACACTAACTCCAAGAACTGTATCTGGGCATTGCTTGGGATCAGAAATGGCCATTGAGACAAAACTCGCACCAAGGAGCTGGCCTGCAATGAAACAATACAGGCAACCATAGGACAGTGACGGAGTCCATGCCCGGGCTCTCAGTGTATATAGCCTACAATAACAGAATAGTCAAGAACAAAGTCTCATTTTCTTTTAGATAATATTGCTGTTATATAAGACTATAATGGTATTCCATGAATATTTTTTCCTCTTATCACACAATCATGAATAGCTTCAATTCTGCAAAATGTACTTGTAACCTCATTGCTTTCAGATATCATCTTGCACAATTTTCAGTTCCCCGTAGGTCTCTTGGTTAGGAGAACAAAATCAAAACTGTGTTGAGAGATTAACATGGAACCACAAATTATACTTCAAAGTACTAAGGAAGCTTTGTGGATTTGTGGATTGTCCTCTCCCAGCTTTTACAGCAGCTGGAACAGAACAACAGTACTCTTTGCAAATACCAGGCATATATTTTAAGATAACCATAAATTAAACAGGCAAAAACAAGCCAAAAGAATCACTAGTGTGGATCACCAAACAAGGCACTGGAAAGCACTCTACAACACAAGGAGTAGAAAGCAAGACTGAAGGTCAGGAACACAAAAGCAAAACAGTTACATTGCAAGAGCTTTTTTTCACCTGTAATGGAAGAAAAGCACTCCTGAGAACAGGTAATGAGAAAATACTTCAGATTTTTTAATTATATGTCAATAACAATAATAACAACAATAATAACAACAACAACAACAGTAATAATAATAATAATGCCTTCTTCTTGCTATCTATACCATATATAAAATACTCTACATGCTCATTTTTGTATTTTAACAATTCTGAACTAAACCAATGATTTGCAGGATGCAGCTAGCATCCACTAGGATGATGAGTGGACTACTGAGACTTAAGCAAAGATAATCGATAACAAAAAGTTGACAGTAGACAGCCAATATTACTGACAGTAGACAAATATTGGCTATATGGAATGATTTTCAGTGGAATTTTTAATTATTATTTTTAACAACGTGATCCACAAATCTATAAAGTTGAAATTCATTACTTAGAATCATTCTGCTCATGGGATAGATGAGGTTCACAGGATCACTTCAACATCTACACCCTGGCCTTGTCTGATCCTTGCAATATATATTTAAACACCTTTATAAATTATTTCACAAGTTATGAATATTGTATAGCCCACAAACTCTCAGGCAAGAGAGCACAACTGCTTCTCAGTGGATGCCTTTTCCCTTCATCTTAACACACACACACTTTCTAATGAAGTTAAGCAGTAGGTATCAATCATATACACAACCTTAACAACCTTCAGCTAACTAACACCATCTGTTTACTTCTAGAAACCCAGATCCTGCCAGCTTAAGGAAGAACTAATTAATTATTGTAATTATTTCATTTATTATCTTCATAAAATAAATTAATTTCAAGCTAGAAAGACTCATTACTTATCCTTAGAAAAAAGTTAATCAATATTTATAGTACCACAAGGAAGAAAAAAAACAAACCAACCACTAACTTAGGCTACTTCCTAGAAATATGACACTTGTCCACCAACTCAGAGAAGAAATTGCAGCATGTTTGTATCACTCTTCAATCAGCAGTTTACATAAATATGTGAGTGCTTTTTTTGCATTAAAAAAAAGTTACTTTAGTGCCCTGACATTCACAAACAGAACTACAGCTATAGAGAGTAAACTTATCAGGAATTCAAGTCAGGAGGAGATAAAACCCCTTTACTACAGCACTACTGGCTTCCAGGCACTAAAAACAAAACCAAAATAAACCAAACAATTATTATTCTCATTTTTCTTAAAGCAGGACTGGAGTAGGTTTGTTTGTTGTTCTGATCAGTTACCAAAGCTCTAAATTAGTAGCACTCAGTACAGATTTGACACAAAACTGACAGACGTAAATGGAAAGATCTTCCTGCAATTTTAGAGCCGAACACAAAAAAACAGAGACACGGAACTTTTCATACCCTTACAGATTTTTGCGCAAGTTACGCATCATCACTGGCAATTGGTTTTGCATTCTGACAGGTTCACGAGCTATGCATAGCAGAGCTACAAGTCACCTTTGTTTTGAGCACACCTTAATGAAACACAGTTTATTTAATACTATTATTAAGTTCATATTTCAAGATTTCACAAAATTGCCAGACAGTGAAATTCTACATCAGACAAGGAAAACTGAGAACAGTTTACCCATCTCACTGAATTCTCATTTTAGGTACCAAAAACCTTTATTCTCTGCATTTTGAGCTCATTTAGACACAGGAATAAATTAAAGACTCTGTCAAAAAGCTATGGAAAAATATGCTTACGTTGTTCTGATGTAAGACTTGAAGTACTCTGTTGACGTTATTTAAGGCATGTACTCGTGTGGAACCTCGTTCTTTAGGCTGAAAATAAAAAGTTACAATGTGTTCACATCAGAATTATACTGACAGACAAAACAAAATAAATTATAGAGCAAACAACATCTAATTTGTCTTAATTTTCTCGAAATGTCTTCTTTTTTTAAGCACGAACAAAAACCAAACAAGGTCATCCACAACAATTTCAAAATGAAAACTGGTCAGAACACTATTCCTCAATTCAAGGTACAGGACAAGCCTTGAAGTCAAAATGTGTTTCAGTTCATCGTCGGTTAAGTCCATAACTTCTATTCCCAGCATCTGCAGAATTATAAACTGGCAATACAACAGCAAAGTGGGAGTTTCCAGGGAAAATCTGAGTGTTTTGAACGTTTGCCAGTGTAGTTGAAATTTTTTGGCTCCCAAGAGGGAATGAGCAGTAATTTGTTTTTCTGGCACCGAAAGCCTCCTCAATCTTTGCATACTGGGAAGAAGTTACACTTCCTGATTTTCACCTCCTTTTAATATCAGGGGAAAAAAGAAACAAAACTACAAAAAAACCCAAACAATCCACATACCACCCAAAAAACACTGCAATACTTGACAATATCTGTCACTCCATTTGCTTTTAATCATCGTAATTCAATTTAACTCCTGATCATACTGCAAAAGCATGGAGCTGATCTTGGAACATGGTAATCAACAGAATTAGAAACCCAAGAACTCCTCTTGTCTTCAGTATACCTCAAATCAGACCACAAGTCATTAGAAGTACTAGTGAAATGCATGTGTTTCAAAAAACAAGGTAAGATTGTAAGGGGAAATTTTAAATGGCTGAAGGTTCCTTATAAGGCAAATAAAAAAAAATTGAGATTTATTATAAATAGTGTGTCAAGAATTTAATCCCAAGTGATGGCACAGGTTTCATCATGCCTCAGGTATCTTTCTTAAGAGGCATTGACATTAGCAGGGGAAGAACTTTCAGCCAAACACACACTTCCCCAGACAAGACTTTAGTAGTTTTCAGGCTTTTCATATCTGTAGATCACAAAGTATTTTTCAACTGAGATGCTGATTTTTTGCATTCCCTGTGAGCGGTTTTCTTTAAGTGATCTTTCATGAGCTTATCAGAAAAAGTCCACAGGTGTCCAGCTAAATGCTGCTTTTCAGATCATCCAGAAGAACACCTTTAAAAGATCTCTATTAAAAACATATACTATGTGAATAACACCACTGGTTTTACATGATTCGCTAAACAGTCTGTTAATTCTCAAGAGAGGGATACACAGCTAACTTCAGCCTGACCCTATATCCCATGAGTGGAGTTCATGGGAATTTCACTGGAACTGCAGAGAGCAAGTACACACTACAAGCAAAACACATTTTTAAATAAATCAAAAGTTAAAAAAATCACATGCCATAATTTGGTGTTTGTGTGTTTTGTTTATTTGTTGGGTTGATGTTTTGGGTTTTTTTATAAATGGGAATACAACTCTCACATATTTCTCTTACCAGAGGTTTCCCTGTCAGACCCTCCAAAAGGTCCAAAAGCTTCCTTCCATCTTTCAGATCTGTGAACATGTCCTTAACTGGAGGCTTCCCACTCTGCAAAAGAAACAAAAGCAGTATTAGAGAGTGTTAAGCAGAACTTCCTTGAAAGAGGTACTTTTTTATCTTTCAACTCATTCTTATTTGGTAGTAAATGTAGTAAATAAAAGCTAGGGGACTGTGACAGTGATCAGGAAGGCACCTTCCCCCTCCTCTTCTCAGTGACATTTTTCCTCCCCATTTCTATGGTCCTGTGCATCAGCAGGCTGGTACCGAGAAACCAAATCAGCGCATCCTCGCTCATGTGAGAGTAGCTGTGTTAACATGCAAAGATGGCAAAGAAAAACTTGGCAAGTTTGAGGATTCATTTGAGAACAAATGCTTTGGTCTGACTGCATCTAAAGGTTTTTCAGAAAGATGTTACTGGGAAAAAAATCAGATTTTTAAAAAAGTAAAAACAAAAAAGGACTTGGAATTGAGCCCTGTGTTAAGGAGAGCCTGCCACTCTTCTACACAGACTAGTAGATCAAAAGGTGTAATATATATTGAGACAAATTCATCATTTTCTGTCTTGAAAACAGAAGAAACTGTGAAACATGTGAAACTAGGAGCTACTTTAAATCATACATTTCTAATATTTGTTTTCTTTGGTGGTAGAGGGACCCTGTACAAGAACAGTGGTAGATCACAGCAGAATTATGTTAACTTTTTCCATGCTCCCTTTTAATCTTATTTCTTATGGGACCCTAAGAAAGTTAACATGGGAAACTATTACAGGACAGGGAGAGAAGACACAGGCAGCCAGTAACCAAGTACACTTGCTTTGTAATATTCATCCGCTGGCTGCCAGGAGATCGATTAAGCTACTGCTTTCAGTGTCCCTTTGAAGTACCAATCTGAGAAGAAAAATATTTTCTAAAAAGTACCTAAAACACCAATATTGCCTTTTTCTGTCACCTTTGCTTTGTAACACTGCTCTTCAGAAACAAGGCTGTCAAAGGCCCATCTCACATGAATTAGCAGACACAGATCTTCTGCATCTTTACTTACCTCCTCCTGCCCTGACAGCTGCTGGTAATTGCCAAATGCTGGCTAACAAGTCAGTAAAAGAGAGCTGAATTGCCCACTAAATCCTATTTTCTGGCAAATATTTAGTTTTCCCCAAAATCCATAAGGGTTTTTCTTAAATGTCCACTTTGATTAGATTTTATACTACTAAAACTATTCACAAGAAATCAGTTGAATAGCTACAGAGCCATAATTTAATATCCTGTACATGCCTAAATGTAACTCAGTATCAACCAGCTAAACAGTGGCGAAAATGACTGTATACCTAAGGTCATTGCTTAAAATACACAGATGCCAGACCCAGTGTCTGATATTAGATTAGTTTTGCAATTAATTTTTCTGTCAAATTTATTCTCCAATTATTTTTATAAATCATGCTTAAAAATGACATGCTGACATGTACTTAGGTAAAAGGTGTAGAAAGCTATGTAACTGTCAGACATAAGAGTACGGGTTAAATATCAGCAGTTGATAACACTCTGTCAGGACATATCTTCCACTTCCTGAGCTCAACCATACGCTTTCTAGCACAGTAAGGGACAAGGATGATTCAGATGCTTCACTGCTGCACAGCAACTTAAGCAAACCTTTAAAACATGCTGGAGCAGGAGAACAAGAATACCTAAACACAGATGCAGGGAAGCTTCTTGTACAGTTTATGGTGCGTAATGGCAGGAGATGATCCACAGCGCAATTACCACAAATCCCAGCAAAATTTGGTTTAAATTTGGGTTGCATCACCACACAGAAGACACTAAAACTGGGTTGGTAACGGCATGAGGAAACTGTTCATCTGTCCAGAAGAACAGACAGAAGGAGGTAACAGAGGTCTCCCTGGATGCAGTACGACTCAAACAGTCATTGTGAAAACAAATACCTGTCAACCATTGAAGTGTGGGGTCTCACAGGAGCAGAACAGGGGGGAGAGTCACTTCCCTGGACCTGCTGGCCACACTTTTTATGCAGCCCAGGATACGGTTGGCTTTCTGGACTACAAGCACACATTGCTGTCTCATGTCTAATTTTTCATCCACCAGCATCCACAAGTCCTTCTTTGTAGGACTGCTCACAATCTGTTCATTCCCCAGCCTGTAGTGATATTGGAAATCACACTGATGAAGGTGCAGGACCTTGCACTTGGCCTTGCTGAGCTTCGTGAGGTTCACATGGGTCCACTACTCAAGCTTGTCAAGGTCCCCCTGGATAGTATCTTGTGAATCAATCGCACAACTGAGCATGATGTCATCTGCAGACTTGCTGAGAGCACGCTCAAACCCACTGTGTGCCATTGATTAAGATATTGTACACTACAGGCCACAATACAGACCCCTGAGGAACACCACTTGATCTTCATTTGGACATCGAGCAGATGACTGCAACTCCTTAGATGCAGCCACACAGCCAATTCCTCATCCATCTAACAGTCCATTCATCAAACCCATACCTCTCCAAATAAGTGACAAGGATGTCACTTGGTGGACCATTGGGTGGACCATTTGGTAGATAAGGAATTTGTTAGATGGTTGCATCCAGAAGGTCAATGGCTCGATGTCCAGATGGAGATGGGTGACAAGCGGTGTCCCTTATGTGTTTGTACTGGGATCAGTGCTGTTTAACATCTTCATCAATGATATAGATAGTGAGATTGAGGGCTCCCTCAGCAAGTTTGCAGATGACACCAAGCTGACTGGTGTGGTTGACATGTCAGATGGACAGGATGTCATCCAGAGGGACCTAAACAAACTGAAGAGGTGGTCCCATATGAACCTCATGAGGTTCAACAAGGCCAAGTGTAGGGTCCTGCACCTGGGTAGGTGGAATCCTTATTATCAATACAGGCTCAGGGATGATGTGATAGAGAGCAGCCCTGCAGAAAAGGACTTGGGGGTACTTGGGGGATGAAAAGCTGGATATGAGCCAACAATGTGTGCTCACAGCCCAGAAGTCCAATCACATCCTGGGCTGCATCAAAATAAGTATGGCCAGCAGACTGAGGGAGGTGATTCTGCCCCTCTACTCTGCTCTGCTGAGACGCCACCTGGAGTACTGCATCCAGCTTTGCAGTCCCCAACACAAAGAGGACACTGAAGTGCTGGAGAATGCACAGAGGAGGGCCACAAAGGGCTGGAGCACCTCTCCTACGAAGACAGGCTGAGAGAGTTGGGGTTGTTAAACCTGGAGAAGAGAAGGTTCCGGGGCGACCTTATGGTGACCTTCCAATACCTGAATGGGGCTTACAAGAAAGCTGGGGAAGGACTGTTTACAAGTATATGCAGCTATAGGATGAGTGGAAATGGTTTTAAACTAGAGCAGGGTAGATTTAGATTAGACATTCAGAAGAAATTCTTCACTATGAGTATGGCAAAACACTTGAACAGGTTTGCCCAGCGCAGTGGTGGAGGCCCCATCCCCGAGTGTTCAAAGGCCAGGCTTGATGGGGCTCTGAGAAACCTGATCTAGTTAAAGATGTCCCTGCTCATTACAGGGGGTTGGACTAGAGGGCCTTTAAAGGTCCCTTCTGACCCAATGCATTGTATAATTGTGTTGTGGCAGACAGTGGCAAAGGCCTTACAGAACTAAGGCCTTTATATAATTAATTACAATTATATAATTAAAACAATGTACACATGTGTAGCACAATAACACAGACTGATAACACCAAAACTGAGAATGTTACAGCTACGTATGCTTCAATAAATTTGTTGCCTTGGGTACAGAAGTTAAAAAAGGAAAAAAAAAGTATTTGGATCTGCTGACAAAGCAGAAAGATGCCTCATTTAAAACACTGCAACAAGGATGTCGAGAGCGTACACTTTTTTTCATTTCCCATCCACTCATTTCACATGCATGAAAACAAGCTGAATGACTTCCTGCTTTCAGTCATTCATTTCAACAGGTCATGGTACGTTCCAGCGCTGCTCAATGTGTTCTGATGTGATGGTGGAAACAATTCAGATTCACTTTCTCAGGAGAATGTTTTTTCCATTTCACTGGCCATCAGAGCACCACGTCTTGCTGCCAGTTTAAAGAGTCAGCAGAAGAGTATTAGATTATTTCTTCAATCTAAGCTATTCCTCCCTGGTTTATTAAAGTATCTACTATCCTCAAAACAGAGACACAGCAACATGCAAAGCCTCTGTATTCAGTGAAGTCTTGCAAAACATGCTCTATGGGAAGTCAGTTCACAGGGAGCACCTTTACAGCTGCAGGGCGGCTGAAGTTGGCTAAGGGCTGCAGCACCCACCCTGCCAAGCCCATCGCCACCTCCACTGCAGCATATCTGTCAGGGAGGCTGGAAACCTGCTCCTCCACCTTTCCACGCCCACCTGAGGAACACACCAGCACCTGATGGCAGCTGCCACCCAGGCAGCCACAGTTGTCCTGTCAGGGCACAGAACCAGCCCACAGCACTGCTGTTGCAATGGGAGCTGGGACTGTGAATGCTGCACCCTCCTCTGCTCACACTGCCTCTGCCCACCCATGCATTTTCTTGACACATGGACACACATTTCCACACGGGATCTGCTGGCTGAGCCACACGGTCAAGCAGTCAGGAACACCAGTGCTCATTTCTCCAGAGCACATGGATGCTGCCCAGCAGTCCTAGGATGCAGTTAGACAGCAAACTGCTGTGCTTCAGCAAGTCTTCTACAGTTCTTTTCCAGACATAACAGCTATGTATCCTAGCTTCTGGCAGCTATACTACTCAAAGTTTATTAAGCTTAGAAAGGAGCTGGAAAATAATTTTAGAAAATGGCAGCCCAAGGGATGGTTCCCTACTTCCATTTCCCAAGAGAAGACAATGAATAGCTGTAGGGTAATGCTGGCAGGACAGCTATGCATGCTCTCCCTACAACAGGCAGGGGCCAGCCCAGAGCCAGGCCAGGCTGCTGCCACCACCATCCATCTTGTGATAAAACAGACATAGAGCCTCATCTCTTTGCACCACTGAACCTACTAGGAGAAACTGCTGTGGCAGTACAGGAGCA